ACATTCCAGAGTCAGGTCTGCATAGGGGGTCAAAGCATGGATGTTGATTGTTGATTTCTCTCACAAAGCAGTGGAGATCCCATGAGGGGTGTTGAAGATTGAAGTTCCCCACTACAAGGGCAGGGAAGGGGAGAGAAGGAAAGGCCTCCTCAGGGGAGACTGTGTGACAAAGGGAGGAGGAAGTCCAAAGGCAGTACAGGTTCAAAATCCTGAACTTAGCAAAGGAAGAATCAAACAAACCAGAGGGAGTGTAGACGTCAAGTGTAAATGATATGGACGCCTCTACCCCCCTTTTATAAGCCAAGATTCAAAATCTCCATGCCGAGGGCTTTTAGGGGTTGGTCGCTGGGTGCACTTCTTTCCCATGATTGCTTGGAGGGAGTAGGATGATTGTATGGATGGTAACATTTTGGATCAAGCAGTCATGTCTCGATTAACTCAGAGGGGGGGCAAAGAGAACATGCTGTCGCACTCCGGTTTTCTGATACCTAAGGAAGATTCAACCTGATCATTTACATGCGCCTATCCTTCCCAGCACTAGCATCGTAGCCTCCCTCACATTATAGTAACTTAAAGACTCAGAAGCTTACGATCATTCCCATCAATCTCCCATCACATAAATTCAAAACCCTGATATAAAAATCCCCCCACAACGCTTCTCCCTTCCCTCCTTCCCTCCCTCCGGGAATCGCCTCATCTCCCCCACCACCCCTAACAATACCCCGCCCCACATCACGCCATCAGCCCTCCAATCGCCAACCGCCACTCCAGCCCGTACACTAGACTCAAGTCAATAATCAACCCCCATCAACTCCTCACCCCTGGACGCAAGAAAACTCGCGAAACCCCCCGTCCTTCGACTAAAGCACCCGGGCACACTCCGCGGTTTCTCCATAGCGGTCGAAAAGTCGTTCCTGTAGGCCCTCCAACTGAGCTTTATACTGCCGTCTTCTTCGAGTGTGGAGACCACGTCTATGATGGGGACGGTCGTTCGGGATTAATTGGCACTAGAGATATGGGGAGGACTCCTACGGTTAAGACTTTATATCCGGGGTGGTGAGGGTGGGAGGGTGTTTGAAGTAGATGCTCAACTCTATTATTTTTTTCTTTGGGGTTTGCAGCTACGGGCGGGAACACGGTGATCTCTCAGGATCCATGGGTTTGCGGTAGGGGTAGCAGCATCTATTCCTGGGTTGTGTTGGGGGTGTAGTATACTACTACTACTTCCAGGATTTCAGTGGGAGATCGTTCCAGGAATAAGTATACCACTTGGATGGAAGAGCAATTCGTGGTAATCTTCGTGGAATATGACGGACAGAAGACCACTTTCCCGACGATGACCCGAGCGACAGTAGAAATATTCCGACCAGAGTCGCCAGGGTAAAGGGTTTCGTTGGTAAATGACCATTTCAATCTATCCGTGATCCGGGGGCTCTCGAATGGAAGGATTATGATAACTGAACGCCCATGTTTACCCATGGCGTATCCATGACCCCCTACCACACAAATAATTTTATATCAGCACGGCATGGGGTTGGGTAGTGCGTGCGTGGGGTTGAACAGACAACACCATCAATCCACCACCCCTTTCTGAACCCTCTATACAGCATGCTTTCTCAGAGACAAAGTACAAAACTGGCCTCACAGGGCTACCCTCGACGTCGCCCCCACAACTGACCCAAAATTTGCTATCAACGGTTTCAAAATCCTTGCCGTTAAAGTGCCCATATGTCCATCCAGGCGTGAATAGCCCCAAGGATGTCTCCGCCTTCGAAATAGCTAAGAGCGCCTCACCAACCCCGAAGCCCCCACCACCCGCGATCACCGACCGAAGCAGGCTATCCCACTGTATATATCGAGCACCCCATTCATACAGTCAGCCAGCCATGATCTTCGTAGCTTCTAACTGCGGCTCCGGTCACTCATAATTCGTAAACAGCCTGTCAGTGACCCCAACAAATGGCGCATTAAGTAAAGTGCACCGAATTGAGCGCTGTCAGCGCATCATACCATATCACCTGCCCGCCAGGAACCAATTGCCCCACAGCGCTTCTAAGCTCTTCTAGGAACGCCTACAACCCGCCCTGCCTGAAACCTTCCCTGTGAAACAAGAGCTCGATGTTCATTAGCCATCTGTCAAATCCGCAGGTTTCTGCAATCAGTGGCAATTACGTCCCGGATATGTATTCTCTCTCCTAACCTTTATCCAGCAGTGGAGAGAGCGGCGGACCCGACATAGTGCTCGACAATAAACTTGCGGAGGACCCGGACGCCGTTCCGGTGGTGGGTGTTTATCCTTGGCCACGGTGGGGTTTAGACGGGGTTGTGGGAAAAGTATATCAACGTACCGACTGGGTAGAGATGCGCTGCCGTGTAAGTCGGCATGGCTGGGGCGGGAAATTGAACTTGGGAAGACTCATTAGGATGGCAGCCACCTTTACAGTCATGACAGCCCTAGAGGTTGGGAATTTGTGGGGGTGGTATCATATCGCTGCAGTTGTTGGGGGGTGAGTAGGGTGCGGGGAAGTGAGCGGTGGTGGTGGACGTTGGAGGAGCGGCTTGTTTGAGACCTTTGAGGCTTGGATTGTGATGTCCTCGGGTCGTCAGTCTGTGAGCTCTAGCATGGTGTCAATGTAGATAAAGTTTCTTGGGGTTGACATTTTGTTTTTGCTCTTGAGGTTACGGCATTCTTGTGGAGAGATCCCCTCTGATGAGCTGGGAGGACTATTATGGATTATCGAGGGCTTCAGATCGCAGTTATAGCACTTTTTCGATGCCCTTCTAGGCTCACAAGCTATCCGTGCGTTCTCGCTAGCACCTGGCACTCCGGTTATCACGTCAACTATCTACGATTCGCAGTGCCAGCTGTTGGTGAGATGTAAAGACCAAGAAGAAATTGTCTATGATACCAGCCACCGATTGTTGAGGTGGAAATGAGCGGAAGCCCTAGTTCTGAGCCAACCTAACTACCTCAACATCTCATAAACATGACACTTGGATACTTATGATACAGTAACAAAAGAAAACTTGAATAATTGAGAATCTCACCAGGAGCCTGGAGCTTCCCCTCCTATGAAGGTCTATCGTTATTTTATTTTGAACGGAGGGCTAAAACGGAAAAACGTCTGGCCGTTTTTTCCCAATTTCTCGGAAGGACGCAATTCACATCTCGGAGTGTCCCCCAATTACGAGTAAAGTGCCGTATCGTCCACAACAAAACCAAAATAGAAAATTTACCGAAAATCAATATTGCCAACTTGTTTGCTCATGGCTCAGACTTACAAAATCCTACCGTGCGACATCACCCCCCACCATCAGAGATCCCCCCCAGTGGTAAGCAAAACCACCTCTACAGTCGATATTTACAGGAAACTCCGTCAAGCTAAACCTATCCCTCTATTCTTCCACTCTCCGCTATCTCCTTTCTCCCGCCTTCGTTTTTTTGCATCCTTTCATCCCACACTCATCATCCCACACTCATCACGTAAGTAAATCCAGTGCCTTCATGATATCGCTACCCACCCTCTGACGAATACGGCTTCGGATATACTGCAGCATGAGTTCAAACCGTTCACTCTTTTGGAACGAGCAATTTTATAATGATGCCAAGCCTGGCGGTGATGCTCTTGGTGGGCTCTTCCAGAATGGATCGGTTACGGAAGAAAATTTCCGTCACATACTTGGTATCGCTCTTTTCATGAAAGCACCAATACCTACCCAAACCCGAACTATAGGCCACACCACATCGCCGACCAGCAGCCCCTTGCCAATTGGGGAGTACGATATATACTGTGACAGTCTATGCTTCCCCCTGCTCAGTATTCCCAGCCGTCCAGTCCGTCTGTCTTCGGGGTCGGACGGGACGGACTACGCCCGGGGAGGTGAGGACCGGACGGACTATAAGGGACTATAGTCCTAGCACCTAGACCTCCAGTACTAGCCAAGCCGAAACCACACCCAGAAACGTTTTGCTACCACCTCATGAGACATCACTCGCGCAGTTCCCGGCCGTCCCCTACACTCCTCAGCCGTCCCCCGCGGTCCTCCACCACCCTGGGCGGGCTACAGATAGCCGTCCTGTCCCATCCAGGGCTTTTGGCAGCCCCCGAACGGTTCGGAACACTGCTCCTGCTTGTAGAGGGGTATTAATTAACTGGATTGTAGGTCCTGTTCAATTGAACAATGAGGCGTGGGTAGATCGAGTCTTCACGCAGAATGTGATTTGCCGAGAAAGGTCTTTTTGCACTGGAATTCGAGCGCGAGACGGCAGATGTGTGATTTCAGATGTGGTAAATCAGTGTACTCCATATGGCTAGGAAGGTCTCGAAGCAGCGCACATTTTCCCTCTAGAAAAAGGGTCACTAGATCAAGAGAGGATATTGTTGTCTGTGTTGGAAATCATGGATGCTGCTCGGCATGCTCAAGGCTTTGTTCTCCCGTCCGCCGGCATATCCGTTCGCCGGCACCACTACCCACCCGTCCATCCGCCATCGGTTTTTTGTCCGCATATTCGATGTAAATTCCCGGGGCCGGCCGTTTGTCCGTTCCCGCCTGTTCGCTCCCCTCCCGCCACTTGCTTGGTTGTGGCGGACGTTCCTGTTATGCGCTTTGGAGAAGAGCTTCCGACGGAGAAGGATATGAACGTCAAGGGAGGTGTAGCCCGTTGGGAGTCTTTGTTCCTGTATTTATTTTGTTAGCACGGGAGTGTGGAAGATAGTGGGAGTGCGGAAGGAAATTGGGAGTACGGAAGGAAATTGGAGCATGGGAGGCAAATTGGAGAGTCTATTGTTTGTTCTCTCTTTTGTTAGCATGAGAGCGCACATATTATACAGTTGAAAAGCCCAACTTTCAACCAAAGAATTGTCAGGGTCAAAATTCCCGGCTAACACTGGCAAACTATTCAATATATCCAACCCCGAGATGTTCACGTTCCTGGGCAGGCAGAGTCGGTAGTTATCAATGAGGCTGCCTCAATTCCCCACCCATTCGTAAAGAGACCTATGGAGCCCTGTCCTGGATTCATTGCATCAACAATCACGGGGTAGGAGGGAACTGATCGCTCGCTCTCCCTAAAGTTGACCCAACAATTGCGCGACCAGTCCTCCGAGCTCATCAAAGAAACCCACCATAGCGAAACAGCAGACCGCTGTGGAAAGACAAGCAAAGAATCAGACGCTGCCGGATATCGAGGGGGAAGCTCGGGTGAAGCCAGACGTTCCGAACCAATCACATACGTGCCAAATGATCCCGTCGAGAAATGACTAAGGTCCTGTTTGGTACAGTGAAAAAGGAAGAAGTGGCAACCTTTCCATTACCAAATGGTTTGACCGGTAGAAAAGGTCGTTGCCAACGGTCAACCATTTGTTGCCCGGTGAAAAGGTTTTTGTAAATTTGCCGCTCTCACTTCCCCCACCACAACTTTCCGAAATATGGATTGCTGGCGGTATGGGTGGAGATGTGAATTTATTTATTTTTCACAATTAGGTATTCTTCAAGAAAATGTTTTCACTGTATCATTGCAAACACATTCGGGCTAAAAATGTTACATAGCAACCATCTTGTTGCCACCCACCTCTTTGAAAAGGAAAGGTTGCTATGATATGATACCTCTTTTACCTTTTCGAAAAGGAGGGAAATGATCATTTGTATGGGCCAACGAAAAGGAACCATTTTATCCAAACAGGCCCTAAACATTCTCTGCCTCGACACCGCTCTCCCCAGCAATGGCAGCACCATGCATGGAACTCCAGACGCTGCAGAACATGAGCCGTTTTGTGCCAATCGAGATATCTTATCTTCCTATCATTAGGTTCCGGAACAATTTTCACAACGCATGACGGGACTTTACATCGCTAGTCATTACAAGAACTCCCCGAATCACCTACAATTTATGAGTGATGAACCCTCTCACCAACTACTTATTTTGCTACATCCCGCCTGGGAGGACAGCAAGAATATCCGGTACCCTCTGCGTGATTTAAGTGCCATTGGAGGGTCTGATATCTCGGGAGTCTGTACAGCAAAGTCTGGCCCGAAGAAAGAGGGGAGGTGGTGACACGATTCCTTGGCTTTTTTCTCAACAGGTAAGCACACTTTTGTCTTACAGAATTATTGGACCAAGTTAACTATTACGAGGTTCCAAGATGAAGGCTTCACCAATCCTTCTAGTGGCCAGGTCTTTGGATTGCGACCAACACTGATTATACTGGAGTAATAAATCCAGCTCCGTGACCTCCCAAAGGTTGAGGTGACTGACATATCGATAGATGGTCTATGGGTCCTGAGTTCTCTAACTCCTCACTGACTTTCACCAAGGCAAGTTTCGATCACCCGACGAAGGAGCTTCCTATGTCAATGAGCAAATTTTGCGTGACTGATGAAGAAATCGAAAATTCGACCCCTCAGACAGATAATATCAAAATCCGCGGTAGGAAATCCTTACCCCCAGTGCTTCTGAGAATGTCGGAGAAAAGGCCCGATGCTCAGCGTTACATTGGCTTGTCATGCGGTTCGGCAAATAAACTTCACAAGCTCCGGAAAAAAACCGAAATTCGCTCCGGTATACCTCCAGCGGATGGTTCCCGAGTTAATTGGAGAGCACTCTCGCGTAATGATAAAGACTATGGCTAGTAAGAATAATGATTGGTTGGGGGGTGTTTGATAAAGGTTTGTGCCTACCGACATGTGGATCCTGGTTCAACATATTGCGGCTGATATTTGGAGACAATATACTTCTACAAACTCTTCCTCACCTTGGTCCATTAAGAGGTCAGAATATTGCCGGTTATATTAGCTCCAACAACCTGAGAGTTTGAAAATGCCAGGCCAATGCTTTCAGGTCAGGAGGATCCTCGTGAGTGCCTTTCAGCTATTCAAAGTCTGCCAACAATACACTAACCCAATAGCAGCTCTAAAAAGGCATAACTGGGTGAATACCGCTCACCTTTCGATCTAAAACAAAAGGAATCCTATGCATACAATATACTCGACTACCACATAATAGCGGACATGATCCTACTCATCGCTGCATTGCACTCCACTAGCCACCTACGATGATCTCCCAAGCAGGCTGGCGTTCGGCAAGCTGTTTTAAGGGCCATCGGACTTCAGAGGAAGATATCGGAAGACATTGAGAAAGAACTGAACCTCCCACCAGCACAGGTTCTCACCATGTTCCGGAAGAGCATCCGAAAGGTTACCACATGTTCCCGACATCTCCTCTCTCAAGCAATCTCCGAGACGCTCCCGCAAGAAGGTCTGAAAATCGAATCAGAAAAAGGTTCAACGGGGGGTGACAACAATAGCGAAACGGAAAAACCAGGGATTCCACCGTGTCTAGCAATCCCTCCCTCGCAGAGGGCCCCCGAGAGGGGGGGGGTGGAGTCATTGCGAGCGTGAAGTTGAAGGAGAAGCGGATTGAGTTGATCAATTCTTTGGATCCCTCAAATTTATCCTTTCCTTGTGAATTCCAACAGACTCTGGGCTCTCTGTATCTTTACCAGCGCACCAATAGTAATGGCCGGAGGGGATAGGCCGTCTGGGCCATCATGCGCCAAAATACCTCTCAACTTCCCCCCTCCCCCCCTCGTTTTCAGTCCGCATAACAGGCATCACCCTGAGTCCAGGGGTGGTCACCAATTCTGAACCAAGTGCTGAATACTGTCATGAAAACTTTACTAAAGATAAAGATTTAAAAAAACCGGGAACCCCCAAGAGCGTCTTGGTAGGCACGGACAAAGCTCGGTTACATCGGCCGGTACAGACAACAAGGAGCGCATAAAGTGGTGCAAGAGTGCGCTCGAGGCAGCGGTGGAAGCGCTTGCAGGAGTTTACGAGAATTCCATCGTACTGCACACTGGGCAATAGTGATCACGCTCAACCGGTTCCGAAGGCAAAGAAGGATGAGCAGTCCATCGCGGATTGGGTTTCTAACTTTAGAGCTCTGGGAATTGGAGGGACCGGCGTGGTGAATCCACTTTTGGGGTATTTACCAGTAGAGGGAGAGAACTGCCGCAACGTGCAAGTGGCGCCACAAACGAGACTTCTACGGATAAAGCCTAATCCTACAGACCACCAATGGTTCATGGAGCGTCACTCGACGTCTGTGGCTGCTGGTGCGCTTGGTGGCAAAGGGTGGTTGAGAGTTTCGCAAAATACATCCGAAGCTCGGGAAGGAATACCCGACGGCATGATACAAGGAAGATTGCCAATATATCCCCCCTTTTTGCATCGTCGTGCTGCCATGTCTGGGAAAAGCTGAACATGACCGAAGATGTCTCAGAAAGCCCGTGTTTCCAACCGGCTTCTTTCACCCCGTAGCTCATAATAATTGTCCGGGAGATCGATCGGCGCCCGTACAACAGCATCAAGAGATCTCTAGAGTCCATATAATACCTGGGATGAAACACACTAGCAGAGACAAGGCCGAATCGAACAAAGACGCTAATATCACACATCGAACCAGTTTCCCACTCTCTATCCCAACCCACCACCACACTATATGATAACCACCAAACAGCACAACACCCCCCCCCCCATATCATAACCCACAAATATCACCACCAATAAAGCAACCCTGAACATCACCACCCGGTGTTTTTTTTTTTTAAAAAAAAGAAGAAACGCCAAGAACACACCCCCGGAGCACATTCCCAAAACCGCAAAAATCCCCCCTCTATAAGACAAAATTCGCCACGTAAGTAAGGTTTTCCCCCCCCCACCACCACCACCCCCTCACATATAAGACCCCTTATGATGCTCTCTCACTATCCACACGATTCACAAATACGGACGGTGCACTCCCAATAATACGGTCACCCACGTGGACAAGGCCGCCTCAGCGGTGTGGTAATTTTCTTTTTCTATTTCACCCCCCTGTACTTAAAAACATTCATTTATATTTTTTCCTGCGATGCTAGCTTATGCTTCTACGACATGCACGAATGATGTACGGTACTCTACTCTACAACTCCACTCGCCAGAATCAAAAGTCTATCTGTCTATCTGTCTATCTATCAATCCCCAGGATGTCAACCCATGTGGTCAACCGCCCCACGACAAAACTCGCTTGTAAGAAGAAGAAATTTCAGGTATCGTACTTACTTCTCATAGCCTCCTTTACACGGGTGAGTTTTTTTTTTTTTTTTTTTTTTTTAAGTTATGAGCGATTAGCTATTTCAAATCCCCACGAAATTTCTCCCATCATACCGCGAAGAGGACTGCCGGAAAGGAAGAGAAAAGATTATCTGCGTCGCCACCGGCGGTTACACCGACATCATGCCTCTAGAACAGACTCTTCGATTCCGGAGAGTACAGTACTGGCGGTATACCCCATATATGTTTCGGAAGAAGACTTTGTCGTTCGAGAGGGGGGGTTATGTTCGCATACTGCTACCGCATATCTCTCCGATAGGGCTAGCAAGCCAAGTTTCTCACAGGAAAAAAAGTTGCAGTGGAGGAGGAGGGGAGAGGAGGTGGGGAGGGGGGATATTTTCGGTACCCGTGATCACGCAGTATCACTCGTGTTCTATCCATCTAGGAATGGAATGTGTTAGTCGCGATTGACCTGATTCCGGTGGGCATGGATAGCAAGCGTACTCTTTAGCTGTATTGTAAAAAAAAAAAGCCACTACCACTCGTTCATAACGTCGGAAGCGTTTCTGAAAAATGCCACTCGCTCTGTTGTGCTGCGCCCCGTCCTTTCCCGGAGAGAACGCTCAAGTCAGGCGTTACGAGTACTGTACTATGGTACTATATCATACCGGGATTTCTGTATATATCTATGTATGTAGGATCCGGGTACTAGTTGTACCATGGGCGCAGTTCCGGACGGTGCAAAGTACGTATCATATCATAAGCAAGATGCATATTCCATTCCTCTCTCGCGGCTAAAGGAAACCCTGCGCGGCGGTGCTGACGGTCTTTTTTCGGGGGGAGGTGTTGTCCTGTTGCCCACACCCCCCCGGTCAGGAAGCTCACTCCAGAATTCTCCGGCTTACGGCGGGGTTCCCCCCTTCTCTCTCTCTCTTTGGACATGCTGGTGCTGGTGTTTGGGTTATGCTACTTGTGTTCATTTCGATACGCGCAGTTTTGAAAGCCTTTCTTGTGATGCATTTTTTTCACTCACGATCCGCAGGGAAGATCAAGTATATAAGAACCGATAATCAATTTGTTCTGTTTTCCAGAAAGAAAAAACCTAAGGACTCCATCTAAACTTTGTTCAAGTTTGTTCGTTTCCCTCACTCTTTCTTTCCTTCGGACAAATGCTATATCATACGTGTCCCCCTTCATTCACAGTGAGTCATTACAAAATGAGTTTCCCACGCGTATTCCCCCGAACCTTAAAAAAGAAGATAGGAAATAAAACTGCAGAATGATATATATAAAAGTAAGACGCATTGGAAAGGAAGTGGTAAGAAAGGAAAAAAAAAACAAGAAAAAAACTATAGGATTAGATTGTGTAACGGAAGAACTATTTTGGTTTATTAGTATTTGCGATTGCTTCGATAGGAACGGGGGGAAAAAAACTCACAGTAGCATTATCACCCTTCTCCCTCTCGGAGTCCTTCATGTCATCAGAGTAGCCATCCAGCGTGAGTCCCTGACTGGCCATGAGAGCGTCACGTCTGGCATTCTCCTTCCTCAGGTATATGGTCATGAAGCAGCAGAGCGAGAGACTCATGGTGGTCGTAGCGATGAGCAGACCATGTCCGGAGAAGTACCTGGGCGCATCGGTGGAACGGTAGGCGAATGCGGCGATGATACCTCCCAAGTTACCGAAACCGACGTGCATCGCGATCCCGACACCACGCTTGGTCGAGCCGCCAATGTTGTTGCCGTTCCAAGCGACTCCCATGGGAACGTTCGGGTAGATACCGCCGGCAGCGAGGAAGGTGCCAACGTACTGGACACCGGGCTTGTGGGTGGAGATCAACATGGTGAACCCGATGATGGAGGTCAGGCAGGCGGCGATCATGTACACCCCACGCTGCTTCGAGCGGTCGGCAAGGTACCCGGCTCCGATGGTGCAGATACAGGCGAAGACGTATGGCGGGACGGACATCAGTTGCGACTCCTTGTTGGTGTAACCCATGTTCTTCACGATGGTCGGGAGGAAGAGGGAGAAGGAGTAGAGAGGGGTGTAGATCCCAATGGTGATCAACATGTGCACATAGATCTTCCAGTCCTTGATGGCGTGGAAGAAGTACTTGATATGGTACTCGTCTGCGAGGGAGGTTCTGTCGGCCTTCAGGCGACGGTGGACTTCCTTACGTTCTTCGGGTGTGAGGAATTTAGCGCTATGAGGGAAAGTTAGCAGCGGGTTTGGTAATCATTGGTTTTGCTCCTTGGAGGGGGGGGCAAAATGAAGGACTACTCACGTCTCGGGGTAATCATTGATGGCCCAGATTGCGATGCAAGCTAGAAAGATTCTGTTTAGTAATCGCAAGGCATATAATGCGAAAATAGAAGCTAGTCTCACCAATAATGACCGTAACCAATCCCTCGAGAATGAAAATCCAGGCCCATCCAGGCTTTCCCCCAACACCCGCCATCTCAGAGATACCTCTGGCCAAGAGACCACCGAAGGCACCGGCAAGGGTAGCAGCAGAGAAGAATATCGCCATACGGAGACCGCATTCGTGACGTCTATACCACATGGTGATGTAGAAAGTGACACCAGGGAATAGACCACCCTCTGTTAAACCGAGAGCCATACGACAGATCAAGAGACCGACATAGTTGGTGACCAAACCCATGAGGGTCATGGTGATACCCCAAGCAACCATGATAATGGTGAGCCAGAGAGAAGGCCGGGTCCTCTTCATCATGAGATTGCTGGGGACTTCGGCCGCGACATACCAAGGGAAGAATACTGCGAGGGCAACCTATTACAATTGAAAAAAACAACTTGGTTAGCTACCCAATTCCGCGTGGGAGGGTACAGATCACAACGCGCCACTTACATTGTAGTCAAGACCCGACATGCCAAGGTCCTTCTCAAGCCCAGCCAAGCGTGCATTGCCAATGTTTGTGCGATCCAGGAATGAAAGTCTAGAACATGACGACGGGCACGGTCAGTCGGTTTACAGTTAGCAACAAAAAGAAAATAACGCCTCCCGAAAAGAAAAGAAAAAAAGAAGACGCTTCGGTTGATGCGACCACCACAAAACGTCACTCGAGGGGAGGAACGCACAAGTAAAGTAGTGCCAAAAAGGGCACGAGATGCCAATCCAACTTCCTCAGAAGCTTCTTCGTTCTCTTCTCGTCGAAGCAGGCCAGGTCGGAGGACTCCAATGAGTCCGGGGTAACAGTTCCATCAATATGCTTCGCCTCCTTCTCAATGGTACTTCCTTCTGACATCCTTTTGATATTGTCGGAATATAACTCTCAGAGGCTCAATTGACACAAGTAGTTGGAAGGGGGAGAGAGGGGGGGGGGAATGAAGGACGGGGGGTGGAAGGAAAGGAAAGGAAAAGGGCTTGTGCTCGAGAGCAAGAAGCTTCTGATATGGTACCGGTACCCTTCGAGCTTTATCCGGGGTTCAAGAGTCTTTATATCAAAGGGAAGAAAATATCGAGGTTGAGGGGGGGGCAACCCAGGCGTTAAAAGGAACTCCCCAAGTGCCTCAATCCAATCCAAGTGATTGACCTCCTTCTACGCAAACCCCGGCCTCTGACCCAATTAAAGCACAATATTCGACCCTGGACTGCGTGCAACAAGAAAGGTGTGACAGGAGGGGGGGGGGCGGTATCGGTTTATTGGCTGACTGCAGGTTAACAAACTGGCCGAGACAAAGCTGAGTTAGGAAGAAAGGCCGGGAAAAAAATGAAAAAAATAAAAAATAAGAGATGAGGCTGCTCAATTCGGAGTGGGAGGAATACTCGAGTACCGTATTGAGGGAACGATAAAGAAATATGCCGTCCTGTCGTCAAAAAGGAAAATAGTGGAGCTTACTGACCGACTGACTGGCTCGCAACACGCACACGAGAACGAAGGGGGGAGAGAGATTAGTGTGATAGATTTCGGGGACGAGTAAACGCTTTAAATACTATCGACCACGATACTGTACGAGTACTCCACAAATAAGCAAGCACCAGCAGTGTCGGTAGTTTCCATTCAATGCCCCTCAGATTCTCGGTGGTGACTGGGGTAATACAATGGTGAATTACACGAGTAGCAGCTAATGGTAGCGAGATGGAAGCATTCCAACGGTAAGAAAAAGCTGAAAAGTACTGTACTCGAGTACTTGTGTCTTCCTCGCCAAGAATGGGCACCTCTTTTGGAATGGCCCCCGCGGACCCATAAAAAGTGGTACAAGTAACTGTTCGAACTGTTTGAAAGAGTGTGCAAGTGGCGGAGCCAGGCGCAAAATACTAACTCGTCCAAAATTCTTTGAATTGTCCTCGAGTAACAACACCATTCCACCTCCCCCCCCCGACCCAATATTCCTCCTGCCCTGGTAAGCAGGCGGCAGGCGGGCGACTTAGGTAGGCAAGTGGCAAGCCGGAAACCAAGAGGGAGTGATAATAAAACAAAAGAAAAAAGGTTCTCACTCGTGATCCATGGCCACCTCCCCTTCCTGATCTTTTTTTGGCTATTACTATAATACTAGAATACCGTACTTGTTTCCTTTTCTTACTCCCGCGTGCCGGGAGTTCCCCTTTTTCGAAACAAAAGTTTATGGATACCTGTTACAGATATCTCTCTCTCTCTCTTTGTTGATTTCATTCTACTGAACCATCGCATCCTCCTCCCTTTGCCCCGGATCATGTTTTACATTCACCCTTACCCCTTTCAACGACGCAATGCCTAGAGATCCTGTCGATTGCTGGTGATACCAATGGTCAACACGCCCGTGATTTTTACGCATGGCCCCTGTACGATATTTGTGCACTTCTATACGGGTGATGTCGTTGAGGTTCGCTTCAAGTTTTAGCTTAGCGCTATCTTGTCAGATGGAAAAGCAAGTACAGTATGAGCTCAATTTTCATTTTTTCTCTCTCGATCCAGGAACAACAACAGCCCCGACAACGCCAGAGGACGAGAGAAAAAATAAAAAAGGGAAAAGGGAAAAAATAGTATCAGAGATAGGCTGCCGCCTCAAATGTGCCCTACGGTACAGACGGCTCGTTGTTGTTACCAATTCCATGTTACCACCAGCTTAGGTTCGTTCGCTGCCCAGGTTTGATATGAATGAGATCTCTCGCTAGGAACTAAGAGAGACAACAATCAACCCGGGGTGGCGTTCAAGGTATGTGCTATGTGGGTATGGTACTTGTATGTACTGTATGTGGGGATTTTAGCTGATCTCCCAGACGGCGATAGTCGTCGACCCAGGGTGCCTCTCGTGCCTTCGAGGTGCAAGATGCGGGAACAAACCGCCCACGGTATCAGCACTTCAAACCCCGGTGGCAATTTTGTGAGGAAGTAATTGGCTCCGTCGGGGGTACTTCCTCCCCCAAATGCAGTCGCAATCGATCCGACACGGTGTCTGAAAATATAGGCTTATATAGTAGTTGGCTGCGAGAGAGTTTAGCCAAAACTACATATTTCTATTTTTCTGTCTAAGATCCGGACCACGGTGTAAGAATCTTTTTCAAAGGGCGAGCGGGTAAAGATCCTCGCAGCGAATTCTTCAATTGGCTGTTGATCCTGGAGTGGAGGCCATGGCGGTTTAAAACCGGTTTAGAGGTTCGATTTCTCTGCTGAAAGTCCATTTTGGGGACGTTTACACACCAGACACTCACCCTCCAAAACCTCTTGCGCCAGATGTACCTTACCTTGCTTTCCTTTTTCCCCAGGTAAACCCGGACACAAGTACAACATTGTACTCCCAGAACCAACTTTTTGCTGGGAAAATTGCAAAGGTTGAGGGGAAAAGATCACTCAATCCCCGCCCATGGGACCCATACGGACGAACGGAGAGTACTGTACTAGTACAGTACAATAAATTTACTCCCTCAGCCCCTCCATTTATCCCTCCACCGCATCGCAATGCTTAACTCTTATGATGACCACTTATCGCAATCCGAGAGAGTGGTGGAGGGGGCAGGGGAGGGTCGCAGTTCAACACCCACAATCGAGGGGGGCGTTAGATGTTCTGAGGCAGCCCTACACGTAAAAAAAGATTCTGGGTAATTAAATTAGGCATGATGCGATGGCTGACCATCATAACTAAACAATTATAATACTTCAACGATGGTGACGGAGGGAAAAGGAAAGAAGGCTGGTTGGGTGGAGAGAGAGAGAGACCAGAGGTAGATCTAGCCGGTAAATCAACCTTAACTGACATCGGATATACGCCCCAATCCGGCCAATCTAGCGCCCCTGCCTAGGAAAATACGCCCAAATTCTGCCACCCCGTCTGCGGTGCAACCAAGCCGTGAGGTCCCGTCTGTGATCAAGCAGCGGCCCACATCCTGCGAGCCAAGAGATCGCGTTTCCATCCCCAAATATTCCAACCCATCCATCTACGAGTACAGTACAGTACTTGTATGATACTTGTATCTGACGAGGAGAGAAGAAAAGAAACAAGCAACTCTCCACCCCCCGCCATCGCCTGTTGTTATGCTGTCCTGCGCAAAGTGTGCACAGCGACTGCAGCGCGCCGCCCGGGTTCTTGCCGGACAGGGGAAAGGACAAGTGGGAAGAGCCAAATATATGACCAAGATAGCGAATTGTACTGTACTCGTACTCTCACGAGTACTTGTACCGCACCCCTTCAACACTCCCCCCTCCTCCTCTCTGCCGCGATACACGCTGTGACATCCAGCTGGTCTTGCACTCTTTCTTTCATTTTTTCCATTCCTCATCCCGCCCGCCCGCCCCGGTGAGAGTTACAAAGCGAGCGAACAGCAAGCCGCCGACTACTACGGATCTGCGGGATGCGAGGCACGGCAATCACCGGCTGTTTGGTTTGACAACTAAGCATTTTTTGTGCCGTCATCTCTATAATAACTCTCCTCTACTCGAGTAACAGATAGCGTACCGGTATCGTACTCGAGTATTTCTTTTCTTCTTTGCATCCACATATCCTTTTTCATTTTTCCCCTACCGTATGATACTTGTATTCTTTTTCTCTGCGCTGCGCTGTGCGTCTTTCCCCTTCGTGGCGGGTTAGTTAGGGCCCCGGCAGCTCACGGGCCGCCCGAGACAGTTGGTGAGAACCCTGCATAGGTGAGGAGCATCTGAAGCCAGAGTATGCATGTCCTACCTAGTACTGTATGATACCGGTACTTTGCCCAAGGGGTATCGCTCTACTTCAACCCCCAAAGGATTTCAACCGCTGCTCCTGTGAGGTTTGTGGCTCTGTCAAATGACAGGGTGTATCGTACCGTACCTTTTTTTTCTCCATATTGATTGGGGGAAATAGGGGTATCTCGAGTTTACTCGAGTACTGTACTGCACATGGAGGTAATGGTGTTTAGATGTACCGCAAAGTCAAGCTTTTGGAGGGTGCAGGGAATGACCAGGACATGTTTATTACCGTTAATTTCCTTGGCAAATTAACAAACTATTGCGAATCGAAGGTGAATTTCCTCCCGTTACGGTTGCAGAGGTCCCTCGCCATAAGGGTACGGCACTACATGGGTAGGATAAGTTGTGTAATGTAGCACTTTTGACTCAATCCAATCCGATTCCGTTCCTAAGATGTTCACTTCTCGATGGAGCCGCTGGGGGTATTACCGTATCTCACGTTAGATACGGTACGGTACCGTGGATGGCACTATTGTAGCTACGAGTACAGTGCAGTACAGTACCATCAGCACATCGCACTCCCTCTCACAGTAACTTATGCGGTGGACTCCTGTACGCGAGCAAAAGTGCAGCATGGCGCTGTGCTCGAGTGGGTACAGTACGCGGCGACGGCGGATACAAGTGCCGTACGAGGCACTCGATGGGTTAAAGTTAAAGGCTGGAAAAACGATCGCACAGACTCTCTACCAAACGAGACGGCACCAGGAATTGGAGACTAGAGGTCTCTTTTTGGGGAGTACTCGAGTACTGTACAGTACTTGCAGCGACTGGGGGTAACTTGGAAACCAGGTATATACCGGTATGATACCCCACGAGGAAAAATGATAACGACAAAACAGAAGGCCTAAATCGGAATCGGAAATAGCTCAATCTTCTGCCAGTCCGTTGCGATAATGAAGATTCCCTACAAACCCCCGATTCTCACTTTGTTCAAGAGTGTAACTTTAGAGCAACTGTCGCGGATTTTTGGCTTGTGCAAAATTGTACTAATCCCCGATATTTCATGACCCCCGAGAGCACACCACCAAATGGTATCATACCCAATCCGTATGAGCACTTATAGACCCAACAATAACATTTGGGTCAACCGAGAACCGACACCATGCCCGCCAAAACGAGGACGAGGGAATTTAATGACCGTCCTTACAGAATGCCAGAAATGGGTGTTTTCAACAGCTCAATATCCAAGCGGATATTCCGGCAAGTGTCGGCTAATTTATGGATGAGGAGGCTCGTTTTACCAGGTTCATGCACAACTCAAGGCTATGAGGGTAATTTATCTCGGGGGTACCGCTTT